AAACTGACTGCTTGCGGCTTGGACGGGCACACGCTTTGCTGGGTAAAAACCTGTCTGGATGGCCGGGCCCAGAGAGTAGTGGTGAACGGAGTTAAATCCAGCTGGCGGCCGGTCACGAGTGGTGACCCCCAGGGCTCGGTGTTGGGGCCACTCCTGTTTAACATCTTTATTGATGATCTAGATGAGGGGATCGAGTGCACCCTCAGTCAGTTTGCAGATGACACCCAGTTGGGTGGGAGTGTTGATCTGCTCGAGGGCAGGGAGGCTCTGCAGAGAGACCTGGACAGGCTGGAGCCATGGGCTGAGCCCAACTGGAGGAGTTTCCATAAGGCCAAATGCCGGGGGCTGCCCTTGGGCCACAACAGCCCCCAGCAGCGCTACAGGCTTGGGGAGGAGTGGCTGGAGAGCTGCCAGTCAGAGAGGGACCTGCGGGTGTTGATTGACAGCTGGCTGAACAGGAGCCAGCAGTGTGCCCAGGGGACCAAGAAGGCCAATGGCATCCTGGCTTGTGTCAGCAATAGCGTGGCCAGCAGGGACAGGGAAGGGATCTGACCCCTGTACTCGGCACTGCTGAGGCCGCACCTCGATTTCTGGGTTCAGTTTTGGGCCCCTCACTCCAAAAAGGACATTGAATGACTCGAGCATGTCCAGAGAAGGGCAACGGAGCTGGTGCAGGGTCTGGAGCACAGGTCGTACGGGGAGCGGCTGAAGGAACTGGGGGTGTTTAGTCTGGAGAAGAGGAGGCTGAGGGGAGACCTCATCGCCCTCTACAGCTCCCTGAAAGGAGGGTGCAGAGAGCTGGGGATGAGTCTCTTTAACCAAGTAACAAGCAATAGGACAAGAGGGAATGGCCTCAAGTTGTACCAGGGAAGGTTTAGACTAGATATTAGGAAGCGTTTCAATACAGAAGGGGTTGTTGGGTGTTGGAACGGGCTGCCCAGGGAGGTGGTGGAGTCCCCATCCCTGGAGGTGTTTAAGAGTAGAGCTGAGATAGTGCTTAGGGATATGGTGTAGTTGGGAACTGTCAATTTTAGGTTAATGGTTGGACTGGATGATCTTCAAGGTCTTTTCCAACCTAGACGATTCTGTGATATAATGCCCAACTAAAATTCACTCAACATTATTCCAACCATTTTTATAGCTGTTTTCCAATAGATTTATTTACTGTCCTGGTTTCAGCTGGGATAAAGTTAATTTTCTTCCTAGTAGCTGGTACAGTGTTTTGGATTTAGTGTGAGAATAATGTTGATAACACACTGATGCTTTAGTTGTTGCTAAGTAGCGCTAAAGTCAATTTTTTTCTGTTTCCCATACTCTGACCGTGAGGAGGTGCACAAGAAGCTGGGAGGGAGTATGACCAGGACAGCTAACCTGAACTAGCCAAAGGGATATTCCATACCATAGGACATCATGCTAAGTATAAAAACTGGGGGCAGTTTTTTACATTTTACATTTCTCAACCATGTGAAAATAATGGCACTGCAGAGTGAGCACCTGCCTCACACAGACGTTGCCCTATCTCATCCTCTAAATGCATTCTTGCTGCCATCTGTCTTTCAATTACATGGGCTTGAGACTGACTGAAAGTCACCATCTTCAAGGGAATCTCCTGCTCATCCCCACTTACTCTGCCTTGACTCGCACTGCCAGTTGGCCTGAGAGCATGCAGAATGAATTCCTTCTGCAACAAAATTCACCCAAAAGGTACACTCTGCAACGCTCCTCTATCTGCTAACGACCACTTCAGCCACACTGTAAAACTCCAAAAACATGCACAGAAAGAATGCCACATGCTCAGCATCAACTGTTTGGCTGCATGGATCCACTCCTATTGTGCTGTGATGGTACTGGCTCCTCTTGCCATTCCCCTTGACAAGGCATTGCTCCACATCTCAGCAGAGCACTTTGTAAGTCACACCCAACTTGTGAGCTCCTCCACCTTCCTTCTGCAGAACACCCAATAGTAACGTTCACTTTGTCATTAGATCTTGAAAGTTTTTGAAGTCTGAGACTGTTTCACTGTCTTTGATGCCAGCACTTCAAAAGATCACAAGCTACAGACTGGCCTTCCTTCTGAAGCATCCACCTCTAAAGTTAACTCTGGTACATTTAAGATCAGATGTTGTTAAGAAGGGTACTTCTCACATGAGCATCATGGCTGCACAGGGCATCCCCTCAGAAATGCAACCAAGTATTATCTTAGTACCTCCTTTACTGACCCAGAATAAAGAAGTGTCTTGTCCAGAACAGTTTCAGACTTAGGATGTTTGTGTCACCTACTGTTTTTCAAGTAGCAAAATGTAACAAAATTTACTTTAAAGATACTTAGGGGAGTTAATGCTTGCAAATAGATCTATCTGCAATGCTTTACTGCAGAAATACATTTTCTCGTCAACTTGTAAAAGAATAGGGTTTGAGATTTTGTGAGGTTTATTTGGTTATTCGGTTTATTATTTTTTACTACTGCACAATCATATCAAGGTCACTGTTTTCAGAATCCTTATTTTCTGACTAAATACAATTTTTAATAGCACTGCTACAATGCAGGAAATATTTTCAAATTAATGATTTAGATTTTCTTAGTGATTTTGCCTTTTAACAGCTCTATAATCAAGGAACAAGTGATTCTTACACAATTTACAAATCAGTAAGAGTTTAAAGCTCCTCAGTGTCCAAATGCTCAAAGGAGGATTCTCATGTTGGATTTTTCTACATTATCCTATTTTAAATATTCTGCTTTCAAAGAAAAATTAAAATGGTCAAAATGTGTGAAATACAAAAATAATAATTCATTTTCTTCAAATAGCAACAAAAATATTCAATTCTTTGCTAGTTACTTGTAACTGCATGCTATAATTTGTGAATTTTTCTTTTATATACTTTATTCTAGTCCTCCTGACAGGTAATAAAAGGGAAGAAAATACAGTTTAAAGTGATTTGTGGTACTATTAATCAAGAGAGGTAAACTCACAATAATAAAGTAACCAGTGAAGGACAAAGGCTTTGACGCATACTGTTACGTATGTGGCATTTCAGATTATAATTTTTCATTCACAGGATTTGTGTGGTTATATTCTCTTCCTTGTAGTAGAGACTTATTTTGAAATGTTATGGTTGAACTCCTAAAATTAACTTTATTCTGCTAATGTATCAATCCATTGTAGAACATGTGAACAAGCAGCCCATTCCCAACATAACAGATTTCAAAGTACATGTCAAGCTCAGAAATGAGGAGCTAGGAGGTTTATTCACACAGAATGTGACAATATCTACATGAGTAGGGTTGGGCTGTAACAGAAATGTTTCTACTGAATCAGAAATTACAATTTCCCCTGGCTGGGAAACACCACCTGCATTCAGTGCCTCAATCACCTCATTCCCCTCTCAGCTGTTTCACTTAGGAACATAAATCTCACTGCACATCTGAAACAGTTTCACTTCTATTAGAAGAATCCACTATGTCCACTAAGGCACCTCCATTAATGCAAGATGAATCCTGGCAGATCCTCTTCTACCAAAAACTAACTTTTTTTAAGCCTTGTGTTGCACTAACCCTGTGCAAGTTATGCGTCCTTAAAGGAACACTCTACATATGACAAGCCAAAGATTTATAGTCAGGTCAAAATCTTAACAGTAATCAAATAGTCTTTAGTCCAGTCATGATACTAATAGTTGTCAGTCAATTATTGTAGAGAAAATAAAACCTCTAACATAATACAGCTAGCAAATGTTACATTTTCACACACTCCCTTGTGTCTATCCCTTTCTCTAGTGCTGCACATACCTTTCCACTGATCCTTGGGGTCCTGAGATCAACAGCACACAGTCAGGGTCCTGCATATTTCATCAGGAGTAGGAAGACGCTGATGGTGGGGATTGTTCAATTCTTCTCTCTAGGATGCACCTGGCATAAGAGTACACATTTCCAAAAATGTTCTACTCCTTTCTTCATTGGTCTGACAATTCCATATTACAGCCAAATAATTATGTATAGAATGGTTTATTGATGTTGTATGCTTGTTCTTTTTTCTCTTATCCCTAAAAACTTGTATTTCTTCAAGGATCAGCAGTTGTTTATACCCATGGGGCCTCTGGCACCTAAGATCACAGATTAATTGATTCTACACAAAATAACTACTAGCCATTAGCTACCAAAATATATCAAAATCATTATAAACATAGGCAGTTTATATACAAACACAATTGTACACAGTGAGACTCTCATTTGACAGTTGTTACAGCTAAGAGAAGGCTTCAGGTAGGGCAAGAGAAGCCTAAACAAATGAAGCTCATTGTGACTTCAGGCTAAGGCCTTGCAGAATTAATAGAAGCTAATAGCAATGACAATACTGTGTTTATGTCATTACAGGGCTATAGCAGTAGTTAGGTCACTCTCCAGAGAAGGGGAAATGTTGTCCTGAAACTTGTTAAACATCAGATAAAAGTCAGGCCTTTCAAATCCCCAGGAGAATACTCTTAACAGCATGATATAAAATACCAGCTCTAGTTAAAGCTTCCAGCCCCTGCACAGTGGCCGCTGCTCAACTGAATGTCGTTTGTGTGTTAGGTGACTTGGGCTTTGGGGAAATGGGTGGAATTTATGTGACCCAAACCTGTATTCAGAGAGCTGTTTAGCTTAGCAGGACACAGGAGGCTCCAGTCATGCTTAGACATTGAGAAAACTTTAAAACTGAAAAGGAATATATGCTAATCAATTTTTAGATTCTTCAAGATGAGTCAGTTGGTGGAGTGTCAGCTTTTCAGATTACCTCCTTACATACAGGTATCTAAACCCTGCTTATGTTCTATTTCAAGCACACCAAAACCAGTTCTCTAAATTTAATATCAAGGTACACAAATTAGGAACCTGATTTTCCTCAGCTCCTCATATAGAAAAGAGACAGGCAGACTCCTCCAGAGGGCAATTTTGATCCTAAGAACTCCTACTTAATTACCATCCAAATACAGCTAAAAAGAAAATACCACAAACTTCTGCTTTGCAATTTATTTATTAAGAGGAAACATATAAAAGTGAACACAAAATGCAGTAAAAATATTTAAACATTTTGAAGAAAATCCAAAAAGGTAAATCAGACAAAAATCACCTAATAATTGGGAAGGAATTTTCATTTCCCACCCTTCAACACACCATAAAAACCAGTATTCTAAAGCATCAAGCATAAGTACTGGATTCAGTTATATCTTCAGTATCTGTATTTCTTTTCTTCAGCCTATTTAAAGCACTAAATGTCTGTGTCTTCCAGGTAGTGAAGTGCATATTCCTTAATATAGGGACAAATTCAGCTAGAGAAGAGAAAGAATGAAAGAAAGAAAGAAAACAAAAAAAACCCCAAATAACACAGCTGCTTAGTCTTCAGTGAAGTATGCCTCCAGTCCCTCCAGTTCTGCATCAGCTGTTGTATTTGAAGAGGTGGGAGTAGAATTTGAATTCATGCTTTCCTGACTATTACTTTTTTGTTGAGAGTTTCCTGAATTACTTAGTTCCTTCTTCAGTTCTCTACCACCACCTAATTGCCTTTGACTCTCTGCAAAATACTGATTAGGATGATTCAAAGAAAACCCAACGTCATCAACCTGCATATAAAAGGAAAGGAACAGTGAATAATTATATTTATTTCAAAAAGTAATCTTTTTCACTCTCAAGAACAAATTAATTAGCAATATAGGAAGTTGAAGGAAAAGGCATGTTTTTAAATACTATCCCAGTAAATATTAGCATGATACAGATTTACTTTCATCACAAAATTTCTTCCTTCATATTAGAAATAAAATGACTATTCTGGCATATTCAAACAATATTTTACACCATCTTTGCTGCAGTAAAGAAGAAACACACCCTAAAACATACAAAAAAAAATGTAAGCAAAACGGTATACCTTTACAGATGTAGGACAATTGAACCTACATCTTTAAAACAGCATTTCCCTACCCAAAAGAGGGACTGAGACAAGTCGAGAGTGCTAATGTCAGTAGAGAATACTACTAAAAGTTGTAACAACTGCACAATATAAATCTAGAACTTAAGTATCAGTGTGAAACTCTGAATGAAAACAGATAGCTTCACCTCTTTCCCTTTCTCCAGTAGCCACAAATGCAATATTTACAAAGCAGCAGACTAAGACAGAAGCCAAATAGATCAATCTTATCCCTACTTCATCAGTGCCAACATCAGCATTCTAAAACTAGATGCACAACCAATACCAAAGAACATTTAGTCTTCAGTGGAAAAGAATACAGAAAACTATCATAAGGTGAAGCATATTTTTATTGCTCATTTCTACTTGGCAGGTGCATTCTTTTGCTTCTGTAATTATTTGATAAATGAACATTAAATTAATACTCATCAAATACTTCAAATCAACAAAGCTTTCCATTTTGAAAGTAAGCTATTCTGACATATTCACCACAAATCTCAGTTATAACCTTTGTATCTCTTTTCAGGGGCTCAGAAGTTGGAAATTATTACTTTGAAAGGTGCTTCTGCCTCCTGTGCAGGTAATCTGCACATTTTATCTGCCTGTCAGTTCATGTAAATATAAGAACATTTCAGGAAAAATACTGCTATAAAACAACATTGGAAAACTTCATAAACACAGGATACATTAAACCAAGGAAGACTACGAGCCATATACTGGTAATTTTCTGCTCCCATTATCTTCCCTTTTTCCCAGAAGGGTGGGGCCAATTCAAGCACAACAAGCAACTTTGCACACACACAGCATCTCATGAGAACATATACTGTAGCTGATTTAATATGCCAAAACCCATCAGTTTAAATTTCAGCCGCTTGTGAAAAATCATAAGGCAGAGAATCAATGTGCATTTTAAATGGAACCCTGATTCAATGCATTACCACTATCTAGCTTAGCTCCATCAAAAAAAATGGCAACCGGTATAACAATATCTAATTCAAATATGAAGAAGACATTAGCAACTGTAGTAAGTGAGGTTGCTTGAAAAATCTTAAAAACACAAGACAGGCCTAGCACAGTAATTTGGCACTCAAAATAAAATATACAAAGTAAAAAAAAAAAAAGAACCTGAAGCCACCACTGACTTTCATTTCAGTCTTATCTGGATGAGTTTCATCCAGTCAGCTTTCATCCATGCTCCAGTTTCCATTATGTAGGAACTAAATTACTTCTTTACACCAAAAAGGCTTAAAAAGAAGTGATGCAGTAAAAAGCTGGCTTTCCTAGAAGCAGCTCTTAATCAGTTCTTTTTTTTTTAACCTTAAAATCTGTTTTCTTCAGACCAATTTTAGATTCACTTTGTAACTCTTAACTTCCTTCTAAACTCTTCTCTCACCAACAAATTGGAATAAGCTGTAGAAGCAGCTCACTGTACGAATGGAGCATACAACCATGTTTTCAGAGGTGACTGACAGCATCTGGCTAAAGGGTATTTACAGGTTGTTCATTAAAATTAGAGTGTGACTCCTTTTTTAATTAAAAGAATTCTGCTCATTCATTTTATCATCTTTTTTTGAGAGCCTTCAGAGAGAAAGGGGAAGTTTTGTTCATCATCATCATCTTCATTTATGATATAGTGATACATTAAAAATTCTGTTCTGCATCATTTTCAGTAAGGTTTTCTGAATAAAAATATTCTGCTCTGGCTGGAAATTCACAAGAAATTTGACCACAAAAATGGAGTTGAAGCATACACAAATTTCCTGGTTTTTTTACGTTAGACTGCTCATGTTACTTTATGTAAGTTTTTCAATGCTTTTAGCTAATACAGATTGAAGCACATCAATTTTAAAAGCTGCATCATTAACTTAGCTGTAAGTTACCTGAAATGTACTACTAGAAATAGTAGTTTGAATTCTCAAACAGCTTTATCCGTTCACACCTGTAAATCCATCTGGAAGCCACTATGCCCAAAGAAAAATGTATTTTCTGTGCCATCAAAAATTTAAGCTTATAACATATATTGATTCAAGTGAAAAGGCCTGTCACTTTGGACAGAACTGTTTATTGCATCTAGCAGATAATACTAACACAGGACTTTTTTTTTATTAAACACATTTTGCACATACTGGTCTTCATACAAACTCTAGTTTGATATTTCCACTATAGCAAATGTTGTTTTGAAAAACCCAAAGGAATAATTTTGTTTCTTTCGATTTTAACCAGGAACTTTTAAAATGACAGCTGATAATGCTAGAGTTGATTTTACAGAAAAACCATGGGAGCAATCATGGTGCTACAGTAAACACTATCAATTAACCACATCCCTTTTTTTTTTTTTTTTTCCAATTAGAAAAAGTCCAGTGTTCTTGTGATTTGATCACAAAGGACTAAGAAAAATGGGGTTTGCTTATGTTTTTAAATGAACTATTCAAAAGTGATTCTTCTGTACCAGAAAATTTGCTGTGTCAGATTTCATTTACATCTTAAAACATATCAGGATTATAAAATATCAGTACTCAAGAATGAAATGTTTAGAGATAAGTATCAATATATAAATAATCAGCTGTTACAGCTGTAACAAGTAACTATTAATACAGCAGTATTCATCTAAACAACATTAACATAATTAGTTCCTTTGAAATATAACTTAGCAACACAGTCATTAGCCAGTTAAGCTTTCTTATTTATTCATAATGCTCAGGCTCTTCAAACAGTGGATTTATACACAATCAGATTTTAAAGCATTCATTACTTCTACAGGCATGCTGTCCCAAGAACATTTATTTAACCTATTAGTGGTTCATAGCTGATATCATCAATGTCTTTTACTTGGCTGCATATACATAGCCAAGATCTCCAAACTGGACTAGAATTATTTTTCTCTATTCTGAGTTGCCATCCAATTCTACCAACTAAAGTAAAAAACCCTCTTGCTGCTACTGCAACCATGAAAGGCATCGCTCATTACTGTGACTATTTACTGTGGGTTATGGTTACACTGCTTACATTTTCAGGGTGTCTCATTTCCACTTTACATGAGTTGCATTGTGTCCTCAATTTAATACAAAATAAAAACTTACCTAGAAGGGATAACAACATGAAATAGCTTATTATGAACACAAGTACAAATATTAAAACTTTGAACAGTTACAACGCTTTCCAAATCAAGAAAGGTAGTTTAGTATTGTGGTAGTGTTTGATTGAATGCTTACTCTAGTTACCATATAAATATAGTTTATTCTTGATTCTTATGACAATACAATAATGTTTGAAAATATATACCCTACAGACCATTCAGTCATACTATAGAGACCCTCTTTTCTTCACATACATAGAACAGTTTGTCTCAATCAATTTTTACAAATTACAGTGTTATTATTTAGAAAATAACTTTCCCAAAAAGGAGAATGCCCTAATATCTCAAAACTTGAAAAATATAAAATCATTCATGTGTATATGTAGTGCTTTCCTTTCCCACACTTACTGAAAGACTTAACAAATACAAAACTTATCATACACATACATTTCCTTAACACATTAGTTCCTTTCTGAAGACAAACAATGCACTGGATCACACAAATGATGATTGCTTTTGTTCTGTGGTTGTGAGATAGTGAAATGAAAGTTCAGGAGAAGTATAGCATTACAGTTAATAAATCCAGCTAACACAGAATATGCAGAGAAGCAGCTTTTAGGTAACCTCTGCTATTTAAACCATAGCACTGAGGTCCGAAGACACATCCCTCACACCCTCAAAAAAAAAAAAAAAAGATCTAAATATTCTCACTCTAGTCCAGATGGATTTATTAGCACAGTCTTAGTGCCAAGCACTAGACTACTGAAGCCATCAGCAAAGCTGCTGCCAGCATGAGTAAAAGATGTAGTAGAAACCTGAGAGAGAATGATGGCAAAGAAATTCAAAGAGAGTCCTTAAGTAGACATAGTGTGCAACTGACACTTGTGAACTTAGAAAAAAATCATAAGCAAGTCTCCACTACAAAGTCATTCATAGTAGATCTAACCCACATACGTGCTGTAACTTCCAAGAATTATAGGTTACACAAACAGCTCTGCCCAACACATCAAACACTTTGTTGGTAAAATTTTTATATAATTGAAGCTGAAATTCTCCATGTGAGCCAGCCCATTATTTCTAGGAAATTTTTCCTTATGATTGTTCACCTATTTGAAGAAAGAGTAACAATCAATGTTATGCTTATTGATTCTTCAGAAATTTCCTTTGCTGAAAAACTCTGCTATGCTAGTGATATACAGGAAAAAGTAAGGGTTTGATTAGCTGCTTAGATGTCACCAGCTTCAGAGATACATCTTTTGACCACCCCAGGAAAAACAAACAAACAAACAAACAAACCCAACCCACCCCACCCCCCGAAACATTACTAAAGAATATAGTTTTAGGACAGAAAATTAATTCCAAGCGGGCTGGTAACAAGTTCAGCAGCTAAATTCTCAAAAAAAAAAATGCATTCAAACTACAGAAAGTGCCTTTCTGTGCATTCTGCTTTTTCTCACTGAAGAGACATCAACAGCAACAGCAAAGGCAGATATTTATATTACCACAAGACTGAAAAAAAAAAATTATTTTTTTGAATTTGACATAGAAGAATGGAAAGACAGCTTTCCTAAAATGCAACAGATCTTCAGCACTGTGCTGATTTATCCTTTGGTGAATGTTGACCTTGGGGTCTATGGTCATCTTGGGAAAATATTATTTCTATCAACTTAGTCTTACACAGGGCAAGTGTTATCTAAATTTGAAATTGTACATAATTTTAAATTTTCTTCCAGATCATTAGACCCGTTTCATCTAAAACTGTAAGACAAAGTGTTCCTCTCAGATTACAGCTGCCAAAACAACACTGTATACTGGTTCAGAGTACACCTTTGCTATACATTCACACCTATGATTGCTTGAAATCTGAGGAGACAGTCCCATTTAAATCAAATGTGAAAACCAGTAAGAACAAAAAAGCCAATGGTAAATGTCACTGGGTGGGTGATCTAATCTTCATCCATATCTTTAGCAAGGCTGTTCCAAAGTCTGCTGTTTGAATGGGACATTTCCATTTTTTTTGTGAAGAGAACAAAGGTATAAAAAGGGCTCTGGGTTTTTTGTTTTTTGGGTTTTGGTTTTTTTCCTTGATGACAAGGAGTCTTGAACTAACGCAAAAGCTGGTTCTTTGAACTGGAAAATCACACAGGAGATGGACTGTGGCCACTGGCTATCTTACAATTTTGTGAAGAATCTTACTTTAATTTTGCCTATGATTAAACAAATGGGAAAGCTCTGAGAATGTTCATCTTGATTTAAAAACTAATCACAGAAGACTAAAACTGTGAAAAAATATCAAAGGAAAATTAACAATATTAACTATCTATGTGCTAGGAGATTTAAGTTTTAGTTACACTTTTTAGATCCTTTTTTTAATTTTTAAGGTATATCTTGAAATATCAAATTGCCTAACAGATTAAAAACCACAAAATTGATAAAGACCAGGATACTGAAAAAGTGGCTTGAAATAGATAAAATTCAACAATATTGACATTTTCAGGAAGAAAGCATAATCTTTAATATATCTTGTAACAGTCAGGGTATTAATAATGTCAATATATAAATGCAGAAAATTACAAAAGTATATTTAAAATTATTACAATGAAAACTAACAAGGAAAGACAGCTAATGATGGATGTAGAAACTGCAAATAGTCTCTGTGCTTCATGCGTGATTTCAAAGGCTTTCCTCAAGACAAAGACAGCGATTACAGTTTTAACAAAAATTAGTAGCTACTTACATCATGCGTCAACTCAAAGTATTTCTGACAGGCCAGCTGGTAATGCATGCCCTTCACCAATTCCAGGATCTATACAGAGGAAGAAAAATGTAACAGGTACAGAAGCAGCACACTTACATCTTGTTGATACTTACCATGACAAGATATTTCACAACAGCCTAGTATAATAGCTCATGGAAAATTGCTGTACATGACATCTTTGACATTTGTTTGGCCTACTAATAACTGACAACGTTTAGACATACTTAGTTCTTTAAAAATACCCTGGCCTCATTTAAAACAAGATAAAACCTCAGGAAGATATGCCTGGTCCTTAAAACCTAATTTCAATACTCAACTTCAAGAATAAGTTGAATCTGTATTTTGGCAATATAATTGTGACAGTTATTGTCAAACTATCATAATGCAACATCACTTCCATAATTGCAGACATAAATCTAGTAATTCAAGTGGTTGAAGCATGAAGCAATCAAGGACACAATTTGTATTTTTATTTTCCCCATTATCAGTTCATGCAAATGCAGAATAAAATACTACTGTGCTCCCATCAAGAAGATGTAATGCAAATCCTTTAGACAAGTATCTATGAGAGGGTAATGCTTTCACCTTCAATCAGATTTGTCCTTTTTGAAATGAAGTTATTTCTAGTCAAGCTCAGCAGAATATGTGAGTGAATAGCCTGTTTTGAACACCTATTAGGAAAATCATGCCATCTTTTGTAAATACAATTTGCTTCCCAATTCTGCTTCAGGTAATCTCTTCTATACTGCATAAAGTCCCATTCTTATCACCAGAATGCAATGCCAGTTAAATTTTTTTAAGTTTCATCACCTCCTCTCTCCTTTATATAATCAAAATATATGCTCTTTCTGCTTATCAAACAGAGAAAATTGCTGGAATTAAGAGATAGCCTCAGTGGAAGGAAAAATAGTTTTCAAGAAATGTTAACTTCAAGCCCCTTTCCCAAGCTTGACCTTTGTGTCAAGCACAGCAATACACTCCAGTTTAAATCCCTGCTGTACTCATTATTGAATGCTGCCTTGTATTTATTGACAGATGTATAAATAAATTACATTTGCTGCATGGATAAAAACAGCAACACACTGCCAAGAAAGTACTTAGCCATACTGTTTCTCTATAATAGCCCAACTGATTACATTTCTATCCCTCTTGCCACCTTCTGTTAGATCTTCTGTAAAAGATCAGGGCCAAGGCCAACTAGGCAATGAACTCTGAAATCTGGCACTATCTGTGTACACTTTTTTTTTTCCCCACCTCCTCCCTCCTTTGAAATTGACTGAAAAAATTAGTGTCACATTAAGTAGATAAGGATTGAAGGAAATTCATCTATTCAAAACATTTCAATTACATATTGCTTTATGTGTTCCTGCTTGTTCCTCACAATAAAAACCACGAAATGCAAAGGACCTATATCCATTTTTAAGTGTTAACTACATTGTATGTATGTACTTTTTTTACAAAGTATTTTTCACATAATTTGAATTAATGATCAGAAAACTTACATGTCTGTTGGTTAGTTGAAAGAAACATTCATAATGCTCTGAAGCATTCAGACTTTTTTAACCTGGATTTTCCAGCTGAAATAAATCAACTAATTTAATCTAGTTCATTAATACTTTAGGTTTTCTCAGAATTATTCATTTAATCAAGATTATACCTAATAAAAATTATATAAATAAAACTTCTCTAAATTTAAGTGTAAATACATTTTAAGACTCAAGTGAGCAAACAAACACTTAAGTATGGGCAAATTCTAAGTATAAACACCAAAAGTTTAAAAGCATTAAGGTTCTCTTGTAATTCAAGAGAACTTTTTGAAAAAAATTATCAGATAAAGGGCTAGTAGTCATACTGTGGTTTGTTTTGAATCGCAAACCGGTTACAGATGCTTTTTGTATCAATTATGCTGTTATCCAACTATCCTGAAATGCAGAAAAACCAAGGATTATCAAAGCTAGTTTTTAATTTGCCAATTCACAATGATTCCCAGGATGCAAAATCAAGCTGCTGTTGTCTTCTCTGACACTTCAGCAGAAAAATGGTAACTTCAGGCGACAGATATCGGAAGAGGGATTACTGATCAACACAGTACAGATGATGACAGAATAAAGGGACACTTATAAAAAAATCCCAGTTTTGTAGGAGACATTATTCTGAGCAAACTATTCTGAAACCAAGCCCATCTAAACCCTTGACTCATCCTTGGGAAAATCCTGACCCACCTTTAAGGGTGGAGAAGAGGACTTGATTGAATCGATGCTGCTGATATATGAAAACTATAATGGTCATGTTATCAGAGCTACCCTTGAGGCACTTTTAAATTCTTAAAGAGCAACAATGATATTTTGCAGCATCTCAATCTTTACTGCCCAGCTACACTGCCATTTCACGAAGGAACCACTGTCCCACTCCCTTGAGACGCTTTCTCAGACCTCTCAGAAGCTATTAGACCTCCACATGAATTTTTCTGCTATACTACTATGAAGACGTATATCTTGGAGAATAGCTGCTAGAGGAACCTCTACCAGCATACTCCAGTGAAGTTTGGTAACTAGGTCTTCACGCTGCTTCTTTTCCTGACATCGATAGAGTGGTCCCTAGAACAGATGCTCACCAAAACACACCAGAGACTTTAATCCAGTTTGTTAAATTTATTAATGTTCATGATGGCACTAGTAGTCATCCTTTTACTCCTGCTTCTTTACCCTCTCCACCACATCAACTCCCCAGCTTTGACTGGTTGGCCAATTTCAGCCAAATTTGACAGGGAGAGACAACAAAGCTAGACAATTCCTACATGTTGATTAAAATTTGTGGTTGGGTAGAAAAACCAGACCAACATTTGTGGCTCATTCAGAAAAAAAGCAGTTATAATTCAGCTCCTACTCATTCTGAGAGGCAGCCAGTGATAAGCCTGATATTTAGCACACATGTAAATTTAAAATGACCACATCACGGTGAGCCAGGTTTACCTTCTGCATATACTATAGGGTTGCGGAATAAGGGGCACATTAAACATATCTAAAGAAACAGTTTAGTAGATTAGCTGGCTTTAATAGAGAACAAGCTGCTAAGAGAAGAAACAAAAAAAGGTTAAAAATGTCAATAGAATGGAGCTCAGGTAGGAGTCCTCTGTGTGAGAGAAACTAACAATCCTCTATTTAAATAAAACAGAATTATCATTCATAATAAATATTATCTTTCCCACTACATTTGTGCACATAATGAAAGCAAGCTTGCAGCTGTTTTTCACTAGTGTTACCCAGAAACAGATCTCCAGTCAAAGCCACCTGAATTCACAGCAGCAATCTTTTGCCTATATATATGAAGATATTTACACTACATTGCTTTGTTTTTGCAAGTAAAGGTACACACTCGAGGACTCTTCTTGTTAGACCTTATGTGCCTTTCCTTTCACTGCCATCTGCAACTTGCTTTTCTGATGTTGCTTTACTGACTACTAATGAGGTTAGGATGATGTTTGGCAGCTGTATGCAGCCACCTGCTTTATAGATCCTCAGCATTCAAAGCGAAGATGTTGCATAGCAGAATAGTTTGGGGTCTGTAATTATCGGTTGTTATCTTCACTTACTCAAACAGTTTGTTTTATTTGAAAAATGCAGAATTAACTTATATTTTCAAAATTAAAAGCTTTCCACTATAGTTTCAGGTAAGTATGACTCATTTCTAACTTTCCTTTCATTTCAAAGGTGGCTGAAGATATGACTAGGTGCAACTGCTGGAGTATATCTGAACACATTCCAGTTTTCTTCTTTTTCAGGCCAGCTTGTGACCATCTCAGCACTAAGTCCTGCCCCAGGACTCCCCAGTGCCCTTTGCCTCCTGGTCAGCACAGCTATCTGTTCTTTTTGCTACTTTCAGATATTTCCTTCATATTTTAAACTGATTTTGAAGGTTTCATGTTTATAATTTATGCATGTATAGCACAGTTTTCTAAGATTTAAGCCGTTTTCCCTCATGGACTCACTTAACAAGCTACGAAGTCACTGTTTCTTTGTTACAGCTTTGCCAGAGCCACTCTTCCTTTTATATTCTTTGACTTGTCTTTTGTAGTGAAGAGTACTTGACCACAGAGTGTTCAGAATTGCACATGGCAATACTTAGGGCATCGTAACAGATCAATTTCTACCCTGCAATTTGCATCACAACTTCACAACTGTCAAACAACAAAACCTAACTGTATTCTAGCACAGATTATAAAAGTAAGAGGCGGTGATGATCTAGAGGAAGGTATTTTTTATTAATGTCTCAAAAATACCTGTATTTCCCCCCCCATTTTTAATGCATAGTTTTTCTAGCCTGAAGTTCTTACTTTGTGTATGTCAGTAAGGAACTCATTAAATACTTAACAAAAGAGTAAGTGAAGGTCAGAATGAAAAGAATATGTCAATATGTGACCATATTTGCTGTAGCAACCTCTGGGCAGCTTATTAAATGAAGACAGATGTTAACTTAAACTCAGTTAATAATTTTATAAGTCAGAGAAAGTATGATCTCAGATAAAATGGGGAAGACATACTCCTAACACACAAGTATTATTCTCAAAATAATGGAAAGGCTGAATGCTGTCTCCCATTGATAAGTGTTCCCCATCTACAGAAAATACATGGAAACTTTCAACACCCGAATCTACACCACAGTGCCACAAAGATTTATTCTGACTATGAAGTTTCCCTGGATAAACTTACTTGTGAGGCTTTTACACTGTCCACTTTGAAAGATTTAATCATTTTAAAGCATTTACAGGTTTTGATGTAGTAAAGACAACTACCCAAGAGATTTTGGACAGTGAAGAATGGGTCTTAGCCACAAGTTGAGAAATCTGAATGATGTACAATTTCTGGATTCAAGGTCTAATGCTTCTAAAAAATTCTTGGCAGCAAATATGTAAGGGTACCTTGTTTTATGATTTGAATTTTAGCTAGTTAATTTGTGGTGGGATTCCTTCTCCAGTAAAAGCTCACAAAAATCTGTGTTCTAAGTAAAAATGTGGATTTGATGAAAAGAAGTAAATCAATACATAAGAA